TGCGCGTCGCGGCCTCACCTGAAGTCCTTGTCGCTGGACGTCATCTTCTCCAGCAGATTGGAGATGTGGTACGAGGCGCTCGCCATGTTGCCGGCCTCGCTCCCGCCCGCTGCCGCCCGCCGCCGCTGGGGCTCCTCCTCCCGCCCGCGGCTCCGCTTCCAGGGTCGCGGCGCGACGCCGACCTGACGGGGGAGGCGCCTCGGCCCCGCTGCCGCCCGCCGCCGGCCAGCCCCGGGCCCGGGACTCGGGCGATGCCCGCGTGCAGCCGCGCCCCCTGTTTGCGTGGAGCAAGTGGAGGAAGAGGATGGGCTCGTCCATGTCGGCAGCCACGGCGCGGAGGCCGGTGTTTGACGACAAGGAGGACGGTGAGTGCGGCCGCACGGCGGGGACTCCAGGCCGCTCCCGGGGACTGCGTGGGCACACGCGCCGCCGGGGGACCCCACGAGCTCTCGCAGGGCGGTCGCGGCGGTAGGATTTCCTCGCGTCCGGACACCGCGGCCGCCCGGATGGGAAGGCGTCCCGGGGCGTCTCGGTTTCCGAGGAAACTCACGAACCGCGCCTGCGGTGCCCACGCGCGTCCGGGGCGCCCGCCTGCGTCCTCCGTGTCCACTGGAGGCGTGTCCGCGGTCGGGGCGGCTCCCGGCTTAGCGCGATGTAGTGAGGGCTGTGTGTTTTTATTTTCCTTTTAGGGGTGGTGTGCGGGCTCAGTTATTACTCTGCACATGTGGTGTGCCGAGTTTGCGAAGGGAGATGCCTGCCCCACAGGTGGCGCGGGGGGCCCTGCCCACGGGGCTCTCAGGCTGCTGGGTGATGGTGCTGCGTGGCCGCCGGCAAGCCCAACATTTGCACTCAGATATGCGGTGGAGATGGCCTTGCCTTTGTGCAAAGACTTGCTCTTTTGGGAGCTAGTTTGCTCTTATGTCCTCCTGCAAGGAAAGCTGCCAACCCAGAGGACAGGTGTCTCTTGAGTGGCCATGCAGAGGTGGGCGAGGTGGAAAGCAGATGACAGGCAGCAGGGCCTGCAGGCACACCTCCTGGAGCCCTGCTGGGCACCGGGGACCTTTGATTTAGCACCCATAGGGAAGGTGGCTGCAGAGTATCCGCCCCTGGGGCACTGTGATATATCCACGTGAAACATGCAGCTCTTTTCTACAGATGTCATGCAGATCATTTAAATGGTACAGTGATGACACATTTGATGTTTTTTGACATTTCTTAAAATAGTTGAAATATGCATTTTTCATTTGTAGGCAGCCTGCAGAGGTATGGTGGATCTTTTACAATTTTAGAGCACAGCTCAGCTCAAGAGCCCAAGCTATTTATTTCTGATAAATAATTTAAGCATTATAGGAAATTACAATGATACGACCTCAGGCCAGTGTTGTGAATGTGCAGGCTGTGTGCCCGAAGTCGTCAGAGGGAGCTATGGGGAACCTGCCGCTCTGCTGACCAGGGTCCTGGGCTCTGCTGAGCCCGGTCACCGTCAGCAGGGGAGGGGCATTCAGGGCCAGCCACACCCACACAGCGTGTTCTGGGCCTGCCTGTCATTGTGTTCTGAACTTTGGGACAGCAGAACTCACTGCTAGGAACGTTTCAAATGTTATATGTTTTGTTTTTAGCATAAATATTCAAAGTAAGGAGAGCCCAAAGCCCAGTTAGGAACTGATCAGGAGGCAGATTTGCGTCCAGCTTCTGGCTGCAGGATGAGAAAACGTCTCAGAAATACGTCTGATTTCAGCGCTGGTGTCAGCCAAGAGCTGGCCACTCTTCCGTGTCTTAGCGTTGTGCTCTGCAAGGCAGCACTTGCAGAAATAGAGAAAGTGATGAAGCACAGAGGCTGCCTTCAGCTTTCTAAGGTAGAAGTTTTCTCCTTGTTCACAGTGTGTTATGTATCAGAATTCAGTCATCATCAAAAAGGCAAAAAGAACACAGAATCTGTTTATGATGTTTGCAATCTGATTTGAGTCATTTTACTCGTCCCCCTACCCGCTGATTTGTCTGTAGTCGGATGGCAGAGGCACTGGCTGTTGTGGGCTTGTTGTTATTAGTGCCCTGGAATGGATTCTGACTCCTGGCGACCCTGTGTACAGCAGAGCGGAACCCTGCCCGGTCTTTTTCCACCATCCTCTCACTTCCCGGCACTGTTATCGGACAATGCTCTGCTGCTATTCATAGCGTTTTTGTGGCTAATTTTTTCGGAAGTGGGTGGCCAGCTCCTTCTTTCTAGTCTGTCTTAGTCTGGAAGCTCCACTGAAGCCTGTCCACCATGGGACACCCTGCTGGTATTTGAAATCCTGGTGGCATAGCTTTCAGCGTCACAGCAACACGCAGCTACCACAGTGTGACAACTGACAGACGGGTGGTGTGGGTCCCTGACCTGGACATGAACCCAGTCCGCGGAGGTGGGGTGCCAAGTCTTAATCACTTGGGCTTGTAGGGGGTGGGTATTGACTTTGGTGACAGGTGCTCTTTAGGACACATGACCATCAGTCACTTGCTCATCTCTGGACATGGCGGCCACATCCCCAAACTGAACACGTGACCAGGACTTACCTGGGCTTTGTTTGGTGAGATTGGGAGGCCAAACCTGGCCCTGGGCCTGATGACCGAGGACGTTGTCTGGGTGGGCAGCCACTTGGTTCCAGTTTGATTCCACGTTTGCGTGGCATCGTCAGGGCGCACATGACTGGAGAGTCCCAGCACGTGTTTGCAGAGAGAACGTGGCACAGCTCTTGGGTGAAGGCCGTGGGGTTTATTTAGACAGAGAGAATGGGGTTTGGAAGGGAGGAAGGAGTCTCTCGAGGGGAGCCGTGGCCCCGACCCCACTCTTTTCCAGGCGAGGGTGTGCAATCGTCCCTTCGACCCTCCAGACGATGGTCCACCGCCTGTCTGGGCCCCGCTGCAGAGCGGGCTGAAAGAGGCACCGCTGCATGCGGGTGACTGCCTTGACTGGGACTGCACGGTTGCCATGGCAATGTGAGACCTTCTGATGAATTTTGTAGATTAAAACACCCAATTAATATATCAAATTTGGTATGCAGAGAAAAAGAAAAAAGAAAATAAGAGGGCAATTTAACAGCGCCAGGTAAATTTCAACTACAAAGCACAGCTGTGACAGAAGGTCGTGAATGTCCTCCGTCCCTGTGGGTCCTGTGGAATCTGGAGCCACTGTCCTTTGGCAGGCGTTGGGCGCATGTCCCGGATTCTGTATGTCTCTTCCTCCCGCAGAACCAAGGGGCAGCTTTTCCTCTTCCCTCGGCCCCACACCGCCTCCCGTTCTAGCCCCTCTCTGACCTGCCGGAGCAATTGATTCCAGGGATCAAACTTGTGAGGGAACCTGCATTTCTTCTGCTGCTCTGCCCCAGAGCTGCGGGGTGTTGGGCAAGCCCTCCGTTTCTCTCTGTCTCGGCGTCCCCGTGTGAAGTAAGGAGGCTGAGTGGTGCTGAGAATGGGTTCCAGCACCTTCCTGCTGAGCAGTGCAGTAACCTGGTGGGGCCCCCGCCCATCTCAGCGGGTCACGGCTGGTTCAAACCTAAGGTGTCATTAGCTTACTCGTAGGGAGTGACGAATCACTGAGGAGGTTTGCCTTCACCCAGAGAAGACTGGAAGTGGGGGAGGCCCTGCAGGCTGCAGAGCGCCTGGCCTCTGTGCCGTTGGGTGGTAGGCAGGAAGAGGGGACAGGAGGCTACCAGATTCTAAGTCATCGTTTTTCAAATTAAAAAAAAAAAAACCTTTGTTTTTTTCTAATTATAGAAACATTAAAATGTATAAATTTGTAAAAACTTTATATTTTCCTAAATTTGTCCTAAATAGGAAAACCAAGACATCTGTAAGTTTAGCACCAAGAGATCTCTGCAGGGCATGCTTCCGTGTGCGTCTTCTCCAGCCTTTTTCTAGGAATGCGCTCACACATAAGGCCAAATAGAAATGCACATTTCTTCTTTGGTACAGAAGTAGGATCATGCTCTACATACGATTTTGTCTTAACCTGCTTTTTTACTTGGCAATATGTTGTGAACATCTTATAAACCTATAGCATCATTTGCTGGCTTAATTTGCAACAGCAGTTCTCAGCCCTGGCTGTGAACTAGACTTGATGGGCGCTCTTAAACACTGAATGCCTGGGCTCTGCCCCCGGAAATTTGGCTTGTATTTGTTGGAGTGGGGTGGGTATGGGGAGTGGAGCTCAAGTACCAGTTCATAAACAGTTTAGCAGTGAACATCTTTGTATATTCATCTTTGCATATTTGGCATTATTTCCTTAGGATAAATTCCTAGGAATGACATTGCCCAGTCAAAGTAGTGTCCATGTAAAGTAAGTAGCTTGATGCATCTGGCCAGCTCTCGAGGCATGAATGGTCTCTCCATGAGCCAGCCGCTGTCCTGGGTGCTCATTATATGGCAGTGACCAATGGACGTGGCTGCTTCGAGGGTGGGGTAACTGACAAAGGGGGAAGCAGGGAGACTGACAGTTGAGGAGGAAACCTCAGAAGTAAACTGAAGGACGGGGTGTGGGGGGGGCCGGAGGAGAGAGAAAGGGGAGACCTGCTCTCAATGGAGTGGGCCGGGGAGGGAAGGCCAGTGTTGGCTTGCTCAGGGAGGCGCGCAAGTCCCTTCCCTGCATCCTCCCCAACTTTGGGTTTTGTGATAGTTTTATTTTTTGACAATCTAAAAGGCAAAAAGATTGTGTCAATGCTTTGAGTTTCTTTGATCACCACTGAGATTGATAGTCTTTCTGCTTTTCATGTTTGGGGTGTCTGCATTCTTCTTTTGTGAGCTGCTGGCACCCACCCCTGACCTACGCCTCCTGTTGGGATGTGTGCAGTCCTGTTTCTTTCTGAGTTTCTGTGTATTAGAGGCTTACTGGTGAGCGCTCCCCACTCACGTTTGCCATTTATCTCGTAATGTTGCTAGATTTTTTTCGTATGGGTGTGTTTAATTTTTGTGCGATCAGATTCATTGATATCGTTTCCTGCCTTGACGTCATGTTACCACAGTCCTTTTCCAGGCACAGTTAATAATAATTCAATTTATAAACCCGCATCTGCACTTTCTTCTAGTACTTCTGTGGTTTCACTTTCTGTGTTGAAAATTTGGATCCATTTGGAATAACATTTGACATAGAATGAGAAAGTTTTCCTCGTGTGAGTCCTGCACTTGCTTAATTGAGCCTGTTTAGGCTGTTTCTAAGCCTAAAATGTGTTCTTTACTGTGTATTGCCTGTTTTTGCTGAACCGGGAATGGGATCTTTTTACCCATCGCGTTTCACAGGGGTTGGTGCTGGTGTGAAGGAAAACTTGCCTTTCTAGTGTTCATCCTGGAGATGGTGGCTCTCCTGAGACCCCTTTAGTTCTCATAGCTTTTG